CCACCACTGTCATTCATTTGGTCAGAGAAAATGATTGCACCTGATTGGCCAGCACCAATCCTCTTCCCACCTGCGTTAACCCTTGGTTATGTGTCTATGAGCATCAATTCTGGTCTACAGGCCCCACCAATCAGAGTCCATTAGCATTGGCCCTATGGGCACAATTCCCTCCAGATTATCGCATGAGTTAAGGCAGTCACATGACCACATCTCGCATGCCATACTGAAAATGTCAATTCACTTTTACTAGTATGCGGCATTTCCCATAAATCGGAAAAACACTCAGGAAATCAAACATAAAAAGGCCTTACACTGCGGTCACATCAAAGCCGATTTGGAAATTGTGCGACGTACAGCGAAGATGCTGATTTCCTTGCGATTTGCAAGTCATCTGACACAGATATCTATGATAATCGCCACAAAAGTAGTCCATGTATTACTATAGAAATCAGTGTCGGAAACGCACCCATGTGACCGCTCTAATAGCAGACAATAGGGTGTGTGACTTGGCATACGGTTTGCAAGTCGCATGTCATGAAAATCACATGCCAAGTGGCACTCGATGTGACCAATATTAGAGCGTTCATATTGGTGTGGTTCAAACTTGGTTGGAGCCGCACAGATTTCTAAAGTAGCGAATGCACTACTTTTCGTGCGATTTGCAGAGAAATCTGTGTCAGATGTCTTACAAATCGCACTTGAAATTGGCATGTCCCCCGACTTTGAAATCATGTGACTTCACTGTAAATCGCACACTTTAAAAGATGGGCTTGATGTGACTGTGGTGTATATCGCACAATTTCAGAATCAGCTTGGATGTGACTGTGGTGGCCCCCGGTCACATGGAATGTGATTTGCATGCCAGGCGACTTGCAAATCATAGGCCAAGTCACACCCTATTGTCTGCTATAGGCTCCGTTCACATCCAATCCAATTTTGAAATCGTGCGACTTCACTGTAAGTTGTCCGATTTCCAAATCGGATTAGATGTGACTGTGGTGTTAGCCACTGGTCACATCGGGTGCAGTTTGGCATGTGATTTGTAAGTCACAGGGCATGCAAATCGCACACCAAGTCGCATCCAGGGTGAATCACCCCTTACAGCTGGTTCACCCTACCATGATTTCAGGTGCAATTTGGGAATTGAAATTGTACCTGATATCGGATCTAATGAATGTGGATGTGAGTGTCTTATCATAAGCGATTTGTTGCAGCACAATTTCAAAAGTAGTTCTTGTATTACTTTTTCTGCATTTTGTAGCGATTTCATATATAGACTACAATAGAAATCGCAATGCAAAACACAATTGAAAACACAATAACTCATTGATAAATCTACAGAAAACACGGTGACATTGCCAACAAAAAGCACAATTTTAAATCACATCTAGTGTGAACCAAGCAGGCAATTCAACAAAGGGAATACATCTTTGAAGGCGTGCGGTATCTGCATGCTCAGATAAGGGTCTGTTATGGATTTTGGGGGGGGGGGGGACTCCACACCATTATTTTTAAAAATTTTGGCATGGGGATTCCCCTCCAAATCCATACCAGACCAGGAAGGGCTTGGTATGGATGGGAGGGGGGACCCCACTCCATTTTTTTTCTTTATAATTGTAGCCAATTCTTTCTTTTATATTCAGGTGTCTGTGGGGAACCCCGCTGACAGCTGCAACATGAAAGCTGCATTGGTTTTCACTAGGCCACCTGACTTGATAAAAAATCACGCAGTATTTTAGTAGGAATGCAAACGTTTTTGAGAAAAAAATGCTGTGTGGGATCCCCCCGCCCACCGTGGATGTGGTAAGATACTGCGTAGTGATCTGTGCCCATGGTGTGAATTAGCCCAGAGGGCACTCCCTCCCTCCCTCCCTCCCTCCCTCTCTCTATCTCTCTTCTCTCTCCCTTCCTCACTCTTCTCATGGTATGACAAACCTTCCAAAAAGGGGGTGGAGTGCAAACCAGCATTATCCAATCAATCATTAGTCCCGGCCCTTATCTCCTCCCATGGTTTGACATTCACATAAGGTGCAGCATTGAAGGTGATTGAACAGACAAGGCCTCATTCTAATTCACATTCTAGGGATCATTTAAACAGAAAGCAAAGATGCTGCCACCAGCACATGTATGTTAGGGTAGTCACACGGAGATCATACAAAGTCATTGCTGTGGTTGGGATTCAAACCAACAACCCTAGTGTTGTGAGGGAGCAGTGCTAACCACTAATCCAGGGAGCTGTGACACCCATCCAGCCTGTATTTCTGTGCTGTGAATCAATCCCAGGTCCCTGGGCAAGGTCAGTGTAACTACCAGATATCTCACATGTGACACAAATGTTGTGCTATGTTACCAATTCACATGTATGTTGGTTGTATGTATCCAAATACAAAAGGATTGCAATACTAATACAGGCGTACCTCGGTGTACCAACGCCTCGGGGAACGGAATTTTCAGTTTACGAATGAAAATCCATTGAAAATAACGCCTCGGTTTATACGTTTTTTACGCATTTTTTCGCAATACAAAGTGTATGTCGGCGCTGATTTTTAAATACAAATGCCGCCTTTTTTTTCCTTCACTATAGTTCACAAGCTTAGAAGTCACTTTCCCCGAAGTTACAGGAAACTTTGTATCTTTTATCTCAGAAAACAAACTAAGAGTAAACATTGTTTCTTTTAACTTGGGGAAATAAACTAGAAGAAAACGTTCTCTTTTTAGCCGGGGAAGTGACAGGTGAATTTCTGAGTAATAGTGAAGAAAAAAAAGAGTGGTAATTACATTTAAAAACCGGTTCCCCCTCCCATTCATACCCAGCCCTTCGGGCCTGGTATGGATTTTGAAGGGAACTCTCATGCCAAAATTAAAAAAATAATGGCGTGGGCGTACCCCCCCCCCCCAAATCCATACCAGACCCTTATCCAAGCATGCAGCCCGGCAGGTAAGGAAAGGAAGGGGGACGAGCGAGCATCTTCCCCCCTCCTGAAACATACCAGGCCACATGCCCTCAACATGAGGGCGTGCTTTGGGACAGGGGACAAGGGCCTCTTCCCCACAACCCTATGCTGTGGCTGTGGGGGTCTGTGGGCAGGGGGCTTATCAGAATCTGGAAGCCCCCTTTAACAAGGGGCCCCCAGATCCTGCCCCTCCATAAGAATGATTATGGGGTACATGGTACCCCTACTCATTCACAAAAAAACAAGTGTGTGAAAAAGACAGGACAAGGTCTCTGACAAGTCGTTTATTAAAATAAAAAACTCAAAGAATGTCCCCCACAGTAGATCCAACGTCAATCACGATGCCCGCCGCTGCCACCGACCCGAAGAAAGAATTAAAAACAACGTTCCGCACCCGAGGATGGCTTCCAGCCTCTGCTTGCTCCCGTGTGACCCCGCCCCATGTGACATCAATGTCACATGGGGTGGGGTTACATGCATGATTTCTCTGAGATGCCCAGCCCCTTACATAGGTAATTACATAGTTACATCTTGATTGACGTTGGATCTACTGTGGGGGACAATCTTTGAGTTTTTTATTTTAGTAAACAACTTTTAAGAGACCTTGACCTGTCTTTTTTCACATTACACTTTTGTTTTTTTGTGAATGAGTAGGGGGTAAATATTTTTTACCTATTGAAATTTTTTTTTTGAAAAGTAATATATTGTTTAAAGTGAAGTCCAGATATTTGGGAAAGCAAACTTCAATATGAACGTTTGTGCAGTGATTGTTCGTTGTGTTAGATGTGTTTCTAGGACATCAGCTGTTTTAGACGGATTCCTGTATTGTGGCTATTAGGAAATTCACTTCCTTGTCTATTTGTTAGACTCTTTCTTTAGTAAATGTCTTTAGTAAAAGTAGACGGATTCCAATGAAAAGTAGACGTTAGCCCACGGAAATGCGCCTAGACGCCGTCTATGTACATTAGTAAATCAGGGCCCGTGTGTCATGTGTGTCATGTGTGTCATGTGTGTCTGTGCTATGAATTCTATCTGCAGATGTGTGACTTCACCAAAGACTTCTGGATCATCTCCTGACCAAGTCCCCCTGAGTCCCCCTATGTCAGGCCTTGTCTGCTCCTGTTCAGTATCTGCTCATCATTTCTCTGTGTGATCTCAGTAATGATATGGGAGACATTCTACTCCAGAGACAAGCTTCCTACAGAGTGAATGGACTGCTGGAGAGATTTACACCCCTCCCCCTTCCATGGGTCATCAGAAGGGGATTTACTGACTTTTCTCACCTTGATGATGGGACCCCATTATCTTCTTCCTTCTCTCTTTTCTATGAGTTTTATGATGACCATACCCTAAGAGTTGTTGGTTCTTTCCCTAATATACTCTCATGTGTCTGTATTTGTCTCTGCATTTGTCTCTGCAGGTTGAATGGATGTGGTCTGACTTCCTCCCGCTGTGATGATCTCCGCTCCATTCTTATCACTAACCCATCCCTCACCTGCCTGGATTTATCATGTAATGATCTCCAAGACTCTGGAATGAGACCTCTGTGTGAGGGACTCCGACATCCTGGCTGTACTCTGCAGGAGCTGAGGTGAGAATTCTACTATAAATGATCTCATATTCTGCAGGACTCTGATATAAATCTTCTATGTGAGGGACTCCGAGATCCAGGAGCTGAGGGGAGAATTCTACTATAAATGATCTCATATTCTGCAGGACTCTGATATATATCTTCTATGTGAGGGACTCCGAGATCCAGGAGATGAGGGGGGAATTCTACTATAAATGATCTCATATTCTGCAGGACTCTGATATATATCTGTCAGGGCAGGAACAATGGAATGGGCAGGCAGGCCTATGGTACGGTCACGCCGCGACTGATGACAGCCACCACCCACAGACCAGAGTCCCTCATGGCGCAGAGTCTAAGCCCCAGGCTACCCTTCACCAGAGCCCCTGATGGGTATGGACTTGACGCAGCCTGAGACCAGGTTGTGGCCCCACGAGTAACCCCAGCTGCAGTAACGACTGCCGCCAATGGCATACAGCTAGATGGGAACACGTAGTGTAGTCAGACAGGCTGGGTCAATAACAACGGAGCAGACAGTACTAGACGGTAGGCAAAGAATAATCAGGTCACGGGCCGGGTTCAGCAACGGGAGGTCAAGTAAAGGGTTAAGGCAGCGAATAGTCTTGTCCAAGCCGAGTCGGTTACCAGGAGAGCAACGAGAACAGAACAAGAGCTTGTGACAAGGAAACATACAGGACACGAATGCAGAGAGCACTTGCAGACAGCAGGCTTAAATCAATCAACCACACCCTTCTGAGGAGGAGCCACAGAATCCTGAAGGCATAAAGGTTCCCACCATGCTTTGCAGAAACCTAAGATGGATGCCAGCACATGGAGATGCACAAGCTCTGAGGAAAGGTAGGACCTTAACAGTACCTCCTCCTCAAGGGCCCCTCCCCCTCCGCGGCTTAACAAAAGGCTTCTGAGGAAATCGGGCGTGAAAAGCGCGGAGGAGGGCAGGAGCATGAACATCCGCGGAAGGAACCCAGGAACGTTCCTCGGGACCATAACCACGCCAATGGACCAGGAACTGCACCCGACCGCGGACCAACCGAGAATCCAAGATGCGGCTCACCTCATACTCCTCATGACCGTCAACCCGGATAGGACGGGGCCGAGGCAGAGAGGCAGTAAAGCGATTACAGACCAGAGGCTTCAACAGGGATACGTGGAAGACATTGGAGATACGCATCCCAGAAAGAAGAGCAAGGGCATAGGCAACCGGGTTCACCCTGCAGAGAATGCACAAAGGACCAACAAAACGGGGCCAGTTTCGGTGCGGGCACCCGAAGATTGATGTTGCGAGTGGACAACCACACCCGATCTCCGATCTGGTATGGAGGAGCAGGCAACCATCTACGATCAGCCTGGAGCTTCTGGCACTGTGCTGAGTCCTTCAAGGACCTCTGTATATGCCCCCACGAGGAGCGCAGGGCAGCCAGGTGGTTATCCAGAGCCGGAATGTCCTGTGATGAGAACAACTCAGGCAATACAGCGGGTTGGAACCCATAGTTGGCCATGAAGGAAGAGATCCCGGAGGAGGAGTTGACAGCCGAGTTCCTCGCAAACTCTGCACATGGCAGGAGATTGACCCAATTATCCTGATGATCCGATATATAGCAATGAAGGAATTGTTCCAGGGCCTGGTTGGAGCGCTCCGCAGCCCCATGAATGTCCACAATAAAATCCATGCCCAGGTGTGACCAGAGACGCTCCTGTAACGGACATGTAAAATTTATTGTAACGGACATGTAAGATTTGAGTTGAAATATGGAATCATAGCCATAACAGGGTGAGTAGATTAGATGAGGCCACGCCCTTTCATTACAAAGGTGTGTGCAGGAACAGTCTGGTCATTAAGGATGTACATTGAGCCCCTGGGCAGTAGGGAAATGAATAGAAGGTAAAAACAAGGGGTCATCCATGGATGTGGGATACAGATGTGTATGTATACACAATTACTCCATAGGCCTTACAGACCCAATCATCATTTAGCATCAATTAGCGTTAATTAGTCTAAAGCCCCGCCTCCTGGAGGTGACACCTTTGTGGGTCAATCAGGTTATCACTTTCTGGGAGAACAGGTTTGGAGTGAAGGACAGCAGACAGACTGTCTGCCTGATGTGGAAAGCTCTATAAGTACATCATACATCAAAGAAAGATGTTTCATCTCTCATAAAAGCTAAAATATTAGTTGCAGAGATATGAACATACTCCCTTCTTGTAGGCCATTCTGTACGCTACATTTGCATATGAAAATCATATTTGTGTGGTTATGCCTATTTAATTCTAAACCTCATCCTCCCCCCACCACCCCCCCCCCCCCCCGTTTTTTTTTTTTTTCCCCATCCTCCCTATCTATTTGTCCTCCATGTTCCACCCCACCTCATTCTGATATTACATCTCATATTCTTCCTCCATTCCCACACGCGTCTCTTTCTTTTCTTTCTCTCTTTTTCAACCCTTTTCCTCATATTCTAACTAGCTATATTTTTCATAAGGTACGGAACACTCATAGATGTACAAGTGTAATAATAATCTATAAAAACTAACCCACGTTTTTTGGATACGGAAACATAAGACATATATGCCTTGAGATAATACTTTTGTCTTGCACTTCATAGTCTTGATACTTGAGCTCTCCCTGCATAGAGACTAATGTATACCATATTTATCTAAAATTACATACTGTTATTAGTATTGCTATGGTTATATTTTTTTGCATATGCTTTACTGTGGGACTTAGATTCATGTTGATCTACAATTTATTCTAATGTCCTATTCCCGTCTGCGATACGGGAGAACGTGTATGAGGATGTGCACGGACTGCGATCCATATCTGTCTATGATCTGTTTTGTCTTTCTTACTTCAATAAAACATTTTTGGTAAAAAAAAAAAAATATTTGTGGCTTGGGGAGAAAGCCAGGAAAATGCATGAAACGGTTAAGTGGCGTTGCATCGCGACAGTCGGATGGTGTTTGGTACTGTTGCGATCGGGCTGATGTGCTGGTGTCAGAAATCCAATCCCCGACTTGGTGTTCAGGCCAGTCTTGGCCCAATTGAACTTGGGCAGGTCCATACACAGTACCTCTTGTGGGCAGGTCAGGACCACCTCCCCCAGAGTCAATTGGCCGAAGACTAATGTCCCGCCCATCTCCTAATCCCAATAAATTGATTGCATGGACATTTGGACATTTGTGGTTCGTACGGAGTTGGTCAATCAACTAGCGGATTGCTAAATTTCTGGTTTGCTCCAGCCGCAGGGTAAAGTGTTATTCTGTCTTTGTATTCCCTTTTTATTTTATAGTAATTAATCATTTGTGTGTCTTCTTATATCTTTTGTATTTCTGTAACTTTTTATATTTTGTACATATGTTATGGCTCCGCCCACTTTGGGAAATTAAATCTTAAAATTCATTAGTGAACTTCTGTGTATTTAAGCTCGTGCTCACATCTTCGGAGAGACTAGATTGGAGAGACTAGATCAGAGAGACTAGATCAGAGAGACTAGATCGGAGAGATTAGATTGGAGAGACTAGATCGGAGAGAATAGATCGGAGAGAATAGATCGGAGAGACTAGATTGGAGAGACTAGATAGGAGAGACTAGATCGGAGAGACTAGATTGTATTGTATTTTAGTGCCTTTAAATCACTCAGTTAAGCTCATTGCCAATCTGTATGCAATTGTTCTGTGTGTGGGCAGATTGCACACAGATTGCAAAGGTAACAGATCTGCCAGACGGAGATCTGTGTGTGTGGGGTGTCTCAACAGACCGTTCTGCGGATAAACTGTTGGGTGGTGGCAGGCTACATTTGTGGTGCATCTGGTGTGGGGGTGTGTGGACAGTGGAAGGGTTATCAACACCGGGGTTCAAGCTAGGATAGCTGGAGGGACCTTAGAAGGGTGTGTGATTACTAAGCTGGTCCTCAACTCTAATCAGGGCACCAGGTTGTATGTAAGATCGTATCTGCCAGTGTGTGGTCGACCAGCTGGATTGGAGTGGAGTCTCCATCTGGTGGTGGCCAAAGGTAGTGTGGGGCTGTGAAAGTGTGTCACGGCTGATCTTATATATACGGGGCGGGGTGAATCCTTGACAGCTCCCCATTGGCAATGGGTTGCAGAAGGCCCAATTGAAGATGCCGAGGAGATTTATTCTGGGCACAGACCGAACATGCTGCTACATATGAGTCGATGTCAGAATGGACAGATGGCCACCAGAATAACCAAGAAACGACCCAGGACAACTGGTTCCTACCACGATGACCTGCAGTCTTGGAATTATGGTAGGTACGCAGCAAGCGGGTACGCAATCCCTCAGGTACAAAACATCTTCCAGCCGGTCTCTCAGGGGGAGCTTTAGTCTGAGCCGCCAAAATCTGATCCCCAAGGGGAGAAGTCAGGCTGGTACGAATGGCAGCCAGGATCTGATCCGGAGGTATGACCGAGGTCGGCTCAGAGTCCTCCCTGGACAGCTCAGAGTATTGCCGCGACAAGGCATCAGCCCTGACATTCTTGGAGCCAGGCAAATAGGAGACCACATAGTTAAAACGTGACAAGAACAGAGCCCATCTGTCCTGACGGGGCGTCAACCTCTTAGCCTCCGAGAGATATGTCAGGTTCTTGTCAGTGAGAATGAGAACCGGAACCGCAGAACCCTCGAGCAGGTGCCTCCATTCCTTGAAAGCCTGAATGATGGCCAACAACTCCCTGTCTCCAATCTGGTAGTTGCATTCTGCAGAGGAAAGCTTCCTGGAGTAGAACCCACAGGGAAGTAGGGGTCCATTGGGCGGCCGACGCTGAGACAGGAGGGTGCCTACTCCCATCTCAGATGCATCAACCTCGAGGACAAAAGGCAACCCAGGATTGGGATGAGACAGTATCGGAGCTGAAGCGAAGGTGGATTTCAGAGCCTCGAAAGCCTCGGGTGACCACTCGTGGGGATTACTGCCCTTCTTGGTCAGATTTGAGAGAGGCTTGGCCAGTGTGGAGAAGTTCCTGATAAACCTGATAATAGTTGGCGAATCCCAAAAAGCCGAAGACCATTGGGACGAGGCCACTGCACAACCGCCGAAACCATCTGAGGGTCCATGGAAAAACCCACCGCGGAAATGATGTAGCCCAAAAAGGCAACCTGGGATTGGTGAAATTCACACATCTCAAGCTTACAGAAGAGCTTGTTCTCACGCAACCATTGCAGCACCCGCTTGACATCCTGGATGTGAGACTCCATAGACGCAGAGTAAACCAGGATGTCGTTCAAGTAAACCACCACGCACTGCTGCAACAAGTCACGAAAGACATCATTAATAAACTCCTGAAAGACCGCGGGGCGTGTTACACAACCCAAAGGGCATAACCAGGGATTCATAGTGGCCGGTTCTGGTGTTGAACGCGGTCTTCCACTCGTCGCCCTCCTTGATCTGTACGAGGTTGTAGGCAGCCCTAAGGTCGAGTTTAGTAAAGACCGTTGCTCCTTTAAAGGGGGTCAAACAACTCGGTAATCAATGGAATAGGATAAGCGTTTTTAATTGTGATCCGATTGAGACCCCTAAAATCAATGCAAGGTCTCAACTCACCGCCCTTCTTTTTCACAAAAAAAAACCCAGCTCCTGCTGGAGAAGTAGACTTGCAGATGTGCCCCCGGGAAAGCGCATCCGCAACGTACTCTTCTATGGTCTGATTTTCTGCCACCGAAAGAGGATACACCCTGCCACGCGGAGGAGTGGCACCGGGTTGTAAGGTTATGGCGCAATCGTATGGACGATGAGGAGGCAGAGCATCGGCGCGCACCTTGTCAAACACGTCCAGGTACTCCCCATATTCAATAGGCAACACAGAGTCTGAGGCGGTGCACAACACCTTAACCGGCCCACGGATGCACCCGGCCCCACACTGCGGTGACCATGAGAGAATCTCGACCGATCGCCAATCAAAGGTCGGATTGTGCTTCTGAAGCCAGGGATATTCCAAAACCACGGAGTAGTGCGGGGAAGAAATTACCTTGAAACAGGCCAACTCCTTGTGAACAGCCCCAATAGCTACTTCCACTGGCAGGGTCTCATGGGTAACCTGCGATGGTTGCAAGGGCCTGCCATCTATCGCCTCGAGGACCAATGGAGTAACTCGAGCCTGCAGAGGAATGGAGTACTGGGCAGAAAACGAACTGTCCATAAACAACCCACCAGCCCCAGAGTTTACCAACGCCTGGGCCGTCACCGAGCCTCCTGCCCAAGAGAGGACAACGGTGATAAGCGGTTTATCTTTTTGGGAAACTGGGGACGAGGAAACTCCACCCAAGATCTGCCCCGACAGGATCTCAGGTGTGGCGTTTCCCGGACAGACCAGACAGGACTGCCGAAAATGCCCCCTGAGACCACAGTACAGGCAGCGACCCTCCTGATGCCGAGAGACCTGCTCCCCCTCGGAAAGGCAAGCAAATCCCAGCTGCGTGGGCTCACTATCAGACAAGCCATCCCCAGGAGGCGTGGGAGGAGAGGGAGGCACGGGTGGGACAGAAAACGTAGGCGCCAAATGGTTAGGAGACCTCCGCAGATGCTCCTTAGATGAAGGCCTCTCTCTGAGCCTGGTGTCAATCAAGATTAAGAAGGAGATGAGTGCCTCTAGCTCCACAGGTTCTTTGGCTGCGATCTCGTCTTTCAATGCATCTGAGAGACCATGAGAGAAAGCAGCCACCAGAGCCTCATTGTTCCAACCCACCTCTGCTGCCAGGGTACGAAATTCTATGGCGTACTCGGCAACGGTCCGTGAGCCCTGATGCATGGATATGAGCAGCTTGGCAGCAGAAGCAGAGCGAACAGGCATGTCGAATACCGTACAGAAGGAGGCCATGAAACGGATAAACTCGTGAATCACCGGTCATTCCTCTCCCATAAGGGATTAGCCCAGGCCAAGGCCCTATCAGAGAGTAGCGAGATTAGGAAGCCCACTTTTGCCCTCTCAGTAGGGAAAGCGAGGGGTATTAACTCAAAGTAAATGCCCACTTGGTTAAGGAAACCCCGTCACTGACTCGGTTCACCCCCAAAGCGCTGTGGAAGAGGGGCAGAACCAGTCATACCTCTGGGTACCGCGGGTTCAGCAACAGCTGCGGAGGTAGGTGCAACAACCGGAGCAACAGTGGGAGCGTCCACCGGAGTGACAACCGACCTAAAAAAAACCTCAGAGGTAAGGTGTGCTGTGCGTGCAAGCAGAGCCTGCAACGCCTGAGTGAACTGATCCAACAAACGATCCTGTTGGTCAAGTCTGGTGAGTAACATGGGAATCGAAGGCGTACCTGCACTGTCAGGATTCATGGCATTTGTGTAATGTCAGGACAGGAACGATGGAATGGGAAGACAGGCCTTATGGTACGGTCACGCCGCAACTGACGACAGCCACTACCCACAGACCAGAGTCCTTCAGGGCACGGAGTCTAAGCCCCAGGCTGCCCTTCACCAGAGCCCCTGATGGTGGGGATGGACTTGACGCAGCCTGAGACCAGGTTGTGGCCCCCGAGTAACCCCAGCTGCGGTAACGACTGCCGCCAATGGCGTACAGCTGGTGGGAGCTAGATGGGAACACGTGTAGCGTAGTCAGGCCGGGTTAATAACGGAGCAGACAGTACTAGACGGTAGGCAAAGAATACTCAGGTCACGGGCCGGGTTCATCAACGGGAGGTCAGGTAAAGGGTTAAGGCAGCGAATAGTCTTGTCCAAGCCGAGTCTGTTACCAGGAGAGCAATGAGAACAGAACAAGAGCTTGTGACAAGGGAACATACAGGACACAAATGAGAGCACTTGTAGACAGCAGGCTTAAATATGATCAACCACACCCTTCTGAGGAGGAGCCACAGAAGCCTGAAGGCATAAAGGTTCCCACCATGCTTTGCAGAAACCTAAGATGGATGCCAGCACATGGAGCAGCACAAGCTCTGAGGAAAGGTAGGACCTTGACAATATCTTCTATGTGAGGAACTCTGATATCCAGGAGATGAGGTGAGAATTCTACTATAAATGATCTCATATTCTGCAGGACTCTGATATATATCTTCTATGTGAGGGACTCCGAGATCCAGGAGATGAGGGGAGAATTCTACTATAAATGATCTCATATTCTGCAGGACTCTGATATATATCTTCTATGTGAGGGACTCCGAGATCCAGGAGATGAGGGGAGAATTCTACTATAAATGATCTCATATTCTGCAGGACTCTGATATATATCTTCTATGTGAGGGACTCCGAGATCCAGGAGATGAGGGGAGAATTCTACTATAAATGATATCATATTCTGCAGGACTCTGATATAAATCTTCTATGTGAGGGACTCCGAGATCCAGGAGATGAGGGGAGAATTCTACTATAAATGATCTCATATTCTGCAGGACTCTGATATATATCTTCTATGTGAGGGACTCCGAGATCCAGGAGATGAGGGGAGAATTCTACTATAAATTATATCATATTCTGCAGGACTCTGATATAAATCTTCTATGTGAGGGACTCCGAGATCCAGGAGATGAGGGTAGAATTCTACTATAAATGATCTCATATTCTGCAGGATTTTGGGATAAAACCTTTTGTGGGGGATCCAGACACGTTCCCTGGAACATCAATGTGTACTGACTAGTAGGGATGAGTGACTCTGCTCGGGTTCAGTTCCCTGCAGGGTCGTTATATCTTCTCTGAAATTTGCAAAACCTGAACTTTACAGTGAGTCCCATTGAGTGAGCACCCCCCAAACCATACCAGGTCACATGTCTTGAACCGGGGAGTGCTTCACTCCAAAGCCCATTGTCTTCATGTTGGTGGGGACAAGGGCTTCTTCCCTACAACTCTCGCCCAATGCTTGTGGGGATCTGCAGGTGGGGGGCCTGTAGAAATCTGGATGCCCCTTTTAACAAAGGGGCTCCCAGGTCCCACCCCCATGTGATTGAGTATGGGGTTCAGAGTAGTAAAAAAACTACTGCCCACCAAACATGACTGGTCCTGTCCAGAAACACAGCCAACTGACCGGTAAATGTGGGGTCGGGGGATGCTTGGTGACATCACTGGGTGACCCCTCTTCCATATCTACTTGTCATTGGGTGAATGCAATTCTTGAAAAAAAGATAAACATGGAGGCGGGGTTACTTGCCCAGTGTGTATTCATTGGTTTGTGTGAAAGTTATAGCATCTACAAACTATTAGAATTTTTTAGAATTTTCTAGAATATTTAGAATTTTTTTTTCTAAATACTACTTATGGCGGCAATCAGCAACTTATAATGGGACTGTGATAGTGAGGCGGGCAATCTGACACTAAATTTACAGGTACCTATTGCGAAAAAAGAGCATCTGGCTGTCAGGGACTGCTTGATCCGCTACAAAAAAATGTACCTGCTAGTGCTAGTAGAGATCAGGCCTGATCCTGTTAATGCTGCAGTTTTGTGTGTAATGTATCAATATAGAGATCTACTGACATTACACTTGTTGGGGGGGAGGGGCTAAACACAGGTGCTGGCAGGTATTGGGGCTGATCCTGCTAATGCTGAATTTTTGGGGGACACTATACGAAGGGGTGCTAGTATAGTTCTGATCAAAGATACTGATCTGTTCAGACACTACACTAGTAATGGAGATGTATAGTGTGTCTGTGAGTATGTTCCTGCAAACAACGGGTTAAATGTGATAGTGATAGTGTGGTGGGGCAATCTGACGCTATCTGAGAGGGAAACTAACTGATGTTAATGCTATCTGAAGTCACCCGTGACACTAATACAGTGACAGGAAATATCTGTACCCTGCAATAATGACTCTGGTAACAGGGCAGTGAAAGGGTTACCTGGGGGGGGATCAGGGGGGTAAATGTGCCTAACTCTGTGTCTGAGTGTAAAGTGTGCTGCTGTGACTCAGATCTGCTCTCTTCTCTCTCTCTAGAACAGAAAAGGGCTCCAGCAGAGATGATTGGGTCAGTTCCTGTGTCTGTGTTCTGTAGACACCGGCACAGGGTGAGCTCTGATTGGTTACAACCGATCAGCAGGTCCAGATCAAACCTCATTGTCCTGGATCTGGTGACTGATCAGTGCTGTACTGAATCACAGCACCGCCGGCCTGGGAACACGCAGGGAGCACGGATCACGTGTATACATGTGAGATTTTGTGCCAGGGGGCAGTAAAGCTACAGGAGGCGGTCACCAAGTGAATGACAACATAAAAAACATGTATATTTTAGGTATAGGGAGTCTCACTTCTAGCGCTGCACAGTTCTCTTTCTATCTATTGGTGTTAGGATTTTTGTGGATTAATTATTTCTGTTCAGCTGCTTAATATGTCATTTGAACCCTTTTTTGGCTGCTCAGTGCCATTATAATGTTGCCATTTCCTGCCTGGCACTGTCAGTATTGCTGGCTGGTCGATGATTTTGCCGGCACACAGAAGTGAATGGAGTTCCCACACGGCTGTTCTGTACAAGCAGAAGTGTCTGGAGCTGCTCTGTCCTCGTTCTCTATGATTTCCCAGTGTATTCTGGGATACTGGAGCCTCCGCTGTGTCTCACCCAATACCCGGGTAACACGTAATAAATGCTTTACTAACACACCATAAATGCCCTTGGGGCTGATAAAGAAGAACTTTGCCCTTTCCCCTCCCCCCATTCCCCTGCTTACCTGTTACTGTGTTCTGCCCAGTAACCATAGTCACCTGGCCAGTGGATCCGGCATTGAGCTGCTGGGATCCTCCTCTCTGCAGCCGCTGCACGGGTTCAGCACCGCCATGTTTCTCTAACAGCTGCCGGCTCTTCCAGGTGCTGCTAGGCCGCCCCTCCCCCTTACTGAATGGGACTGCATGTCATATATCCCAGGAGGCACTGGGGCAGCCCACCATTCACCTAGACTTATATCAGAAGTCAGGGAGGGGGGTGGCCGACCATATGTAACCAAACAAACAACATCTGATATCGATGCAGAGGGGGGATGGGGAGGAGGAAAGTGCTGTGGGAGGGTGAAGCCCCAATGCTACTGCTCCTGTGTGAACAGCACTGGGGGGTACCATTGTAATATTC